CGTAAATGTTTTTCTATTTTTGTGTCTGGGAATGGAACAAATGCTCTGGGGATGTGAACTATAAATCTGCTCAACTTGACTCTGTTCCTCTGAAACCTCTGAGGTTCTAGGCTCTTACCGTCTGAAAAAAGAATCTAAGAACATAAACTATGTGAAGACCAAATGAACCTCGCTGGACCCAATTTGAGTTTTCGTCCTCTCTGTGACTCATGAGGTTCTTCTTCTGTAACACGTCTGTTTCCTTTGGGCCTGTTGTGTTTGTTTGTCTTGCGTCAATACATCGTCAATACGTCGATGTCGATTTACCAGTTGATCTCCGAGGTCGTGTGGGTAAATCGCCGTGTCTCGTCTCGGACTCGCGTTTGGACTCGGTCTTGTCTCTCACTCGAGGTTTGACACTCAACAAGTGTGATCATATTTAATTACGGCCGCTGCTGTTGGTAATAAACTTGTAGCGGGTGCAGGAGCGTGTGGTACCTGTTGTAGTACTCGGTGGTAGAAGTGTAGTAGTAGTAGTAGTAGTAGTAGTAGTAGTAGTACTTGTAGCGGGTGCAGGAGCGTGTGGGGCGTCTCAGTGCAGCCTGTGCGCTCATTTGAAACCCGCGGAGACTCTACGGCGCATCACAAACACACACGCTCCCTATGCACGGCTCGTCTGCGACAGCGTGTGCCCTCGTGTACCAGGGCTGGTATCATTAAGAAGTTGCCGATACGATACATACCTCGATACAGCGCACTTTCGATCCAGTACAATATATTTCAAATCGTTTTTAAATGGTTCAATTAAAAAATAGGAATGTAACAATAATCAAAATATCCTTATATCGTCAAAAGTCTCATAATAATATCTGGACCATCACAATATATCGAATTACAAGTCTCTTTGTTTAAATTAACAGTTATTGTGCAGTAATAAGTAAAAAAAACAGAGGGAACTACATGGACCATGATCCTTTGCTCTGTTTTGGTGCAAACTAAATTCTAAGCACTTTGAAATTTTGTCAAGGCTTTTTAAAACAAAAAAGTAGCATATTCACTATTTTGTTCGCCTCCACAAAATATTGCAGTAAATATCGTTGAGATGTATATCGTGAAAATATCGTACCATGAAATGTGGATATTGTTACATCCCTAATAAAAAATAAAGGCTAAATTATGGCCCTGATACTAAAAGTCTTTGTTAAATCACTTCTTCTTGTGCAAAGTTCATATGAAACACAAATATTTTAATCCTCAAAACAGTGAAAATGACAAATGTGTCGCGTAAACATGTTTCATTCCTCTAAACGAGCGACAAAACTGTAGCTGTAACAAAATAATTTAGAAAAATATACCAAAAAATACTCTTGGCGATATATCGATACAGCAGCCCTCAATATCGATACTGTATCATCACATTAAACAATACGATATATCGATATTTTGATATTTCTGCACACCCCTGTCGTGTACCAGCGAGCGTCACAGGGCAGGTTCATCCTACCTGTCCACCTGCGTACGGCCAACACAAGCCCCGCCCACAGTGCGGCTGATTAGAAGAACAAGACCAAACGTGAAGCAAAAACCAGTCTAAATTTGTGTTCCAGTGTTGGCACAAAGCAGGTCTACAGCATAGAGCGGATCTACAGAACAGACCTACTGCCACATTTGGCTAAAGTTTGTGTAACAAAAGTGACAAATGCATCTGTGTTTGTCACGATGTGCGTTTGGTTTGGTAAACGTGCAGAGGCTGGTAAATATCACTGCAAAACCAGAAAAGAATGAAACTCCAGTTTGGAACTTTAAAAAACAGGTTTAAAAATCACAGTTTGGTGTAAAGTGAGAAAGATGGATTTGTATTTTTATTCCTTTGTCGTTATGTTTGTGGAAAATGATCTGAAAATGTGAATATTCATGAAGACGGGGCGTGGCCTTGGACAGCCGGGCTCCTGATTGGCTCGTTGGTGGTTCTGACGCTCACGGTCACACGGACCTGCTGCCCTCAATGAGCTTCATTTGGAGCTGAGGCTGTGGAGACGTCGACTTTTCTGTTTAACCCCGACACACCGGACACGATTACGACACTTCAGAGGACAGAGGACACATCAGAGGACACATCAGAGGACACATCAGAGGACACATCAGAGGACAGAGGACACATTCAGAGGACACATCAGAGGACACATCAGAGGACACATTCAGAGGACACATCAGAGGACACATCAGAGGACACATCAGAGGACACACTTCAGAGGACACATCAGAGGACACATCAGAGGACACATCAGAGGACACATCAGAGGACACATCAGAGGACACATCAGAGGACACATCAGAGGACACATCAGAGGACAGATAGAGGACAGAGACACTTCAGAGGACACATAGAGGACACATTGAACACTTTAGAGGACACTTTCATTTTTCACAGAGTTTAAACAGAAACACAAAGAGGATTTATCAGAAACACCAGGTCCATCCACAGACCACAGACAGGAAGTGAGGGGCGGGGCCTCGTCTACAGGAAGTGAGGGGCGGGGCCTCGTCTACAGGAAGTGAGGGGCGGGGCCTCGTCTACAGGAAGTTGGAGGCGGAGTCAGAGAGGTCCAGTCCACAGCCGGCGATGTACTGACTCACGTCTTTACCCTGACAGTGAACCTTCCACGCCACCCTGACAACAAACAAGACCAGAACTGAACCAGGACTGAACCGGGACTGAACCAGGACTCTGATTGGCCTGTGGGGGTCATGTGACTCACCAGGCCTTGGCGCCTTGTTGCCTGGCGACAGTTTTGGCACAGTTTATGGCAACGGTCGGGTCATCGGCGAGAAGAGCTGCAGAAACACACAGAAAAAGTGTTTAAATATGTTTTATAAATGTGTTAGAAATGTTTAAATATGTTTTATACATGTTTATATGAGTTTTAAGTGTGTTATAAATGTTTATAACTGTATAAATGTGTTATAAATGTTTAAATAAATGTTTAAATAAATGTGTTATAAATGTTTAAATAAATGTTTAAATGTTTAAATAAAAAATGTTTAAATAATGTTATAAATGTTTAAATAAATGTTTAAATAAATGTGTTATAAATGTTTAAATAAATGTTTAAATAAATGTGTTATAAATGTTTAAATAAATGTGATATAAATGTTTAAATAAGTGTGTTATAAATGTGTTTAAATAAATAAATGTGTTTAAATAAGTGTTTTCTAAATGTTTTATAAGTGTGTTATAAATGTGTAAATGTGTTATAAATGTTTAAATAAATGTTTAAATAAATGTGTTATAATAAATGTGTTTAAATAAATGTGTTTAAATAAATGTGTTTAAATAAATGTGTTAAAATAAATAAATGTGTTAAAATAAATAAATGTGTTTAAATAAATGTGTTTAAATAAATGTGTTTAAATAAATAATGTGTTTAAATAAATAAATGTGTTTAAATAAGTGTGTTTAAATAAATGTGTTTAAATAAATAAATGTGTTTAAATAAATGTGTTTAAATAAATAAATGTGTTTAAATAAATGTGTTTAAAAATAAATGTGTTTAAATAAATGTGTTTAAATAAATGTGTTTAAATAAATGTGTTTAAATAAATAAATGTGTTTAAATAAATAAATGTGTTTAAATAAATGTGTTTAAATAAATGTGTTAAATAAATGTGTTTAAATAAATGTGTTTAAATAAATAAATGTGTTTAAATAAATGTGTTTAAATAAATAAATGTGTTTAAATAAATGTGTTTAAATAAATAAATGTGTTTAAATAAATGTGTTTAAATAAATAAATGTGTTTAATAAAAAATGTGTTAAATGTGTTAAATAAATAAATGTGTTTAAATAAATGTGTTTAAATAAATAAATGTGTTTAAATAAATAAATGTGTTTAAATAAATAAATGTGTTTAAATAAATAAATGTGTTTAAATAAATGTGTTTAAATAAATAAATGTGTTTAAATAAATGTGTTTAAATAAATGTGTTTAAATAAATGTGTTTAAATAAATAAATGTGTTTAAATAAATGTGTTTAAATAAATAAATGTGTTTAAATAAATAAATGTGTTTAAATAAATGTGTTTAAATAAATAAATGTGTTTAAATAAATAAATGTGTTTAAATAAATAAATGTGTTTAAATGTGTTTAAATAAATAAATGTGTTTAAATAAATGTGTTTAAATAAATAAATGTGTTTAAATAAATGTGTTTAAATAAATAAATGTGTTTAAATAAATAAATAATGTTTTAAATAAATGTGTTAAATGTGTTTAAAATAAATGTGTTTAAATAAATAAATGTGTTTAAATAAATGTGTTTAAATAAATAAATGTGTTTAAATAAATGTGTTTAAATAAATAAATGTGTTTAAATAAATAAATGTGTTTAAATAAATGTGTTAAATAAATAAATGTGTTTAAATAAATAAATGTGTTTAAATAAATAAATGTGTTTAAATAAATAAATGTGTTTAAATAAATAAATGTGTTTAAATAAGTGTTTTACCGGAGCAGTTGATGTTGCAGCCGTTGGCTCGACTCGGCCCAGAGTCTCTGCACCACCATTTACTGTTGATCTGGAAGATTCCGTAGTCGGTGGAGTTGTCACGGTTATGGTTCACGGCTCTGGTGTTGAAGCTCGACTCCCAACGAGTCAGACACACCCCTGAGACAGAAACGACCAATCAGAGAGGAGGAGAGAGACACGACCAATCAGAGAGGAGGAGAGAGAGACGACCAATCAGAGAGGAGGAGAGAGACACGACCAATCAGAGAGGAGGAGAGAGACACGACCAATCAGAGAGGAGGAGAGAGAGAGAGACGACCAATCAGAGAGGAGGAGAGAGAGACGACCAATCAGAGAGGAGGAGAGAGAGACGACGACAATCAGAGAGGAGGAGAGACGACTTTTCTACTTTGTTGTTTCAGTTTTATTCATTAATATTTATTTTGATGATTTGTGATGAAAAGTTTATTCCTGGTGATTGATTTGAATTCATGATGTTTAGTTTTTGTTTAATTCACTCGTTTAATTTAAGTTTTTATGTTTGTTTATTTATTTGGAAATGAAATTTGTGGAAAATTTTAGCGACTCAAACATACACACAGGAACATACACACATACACACACACAGGAACATACACACACACAGGAACATACACACACACACACATACACACAAGAACATACACACACACACACAGGAACATACACACACAGGAACATACACACAGGAACATACACACACACACACGGAACATACACACACACAGGAACATACACACACACACAGACACATACACACACACACAGGAACATACACACAGGACATACACACACACACAGGAACATACACACACACAGGAACATACACACACAGGAACATACACACACACAGGAACATACACACAGGAACATACACACACACAGGAACATACACACACACAGGAACATACACACATACACACACACAGGAACATACACACACAGGAACATACACACACAGGAACATACACACAGGAACATACACACACACACACAGGAACATACACACACACAGGAACATACACACACAGGAACATACACACAGGAACATACACACACAGGAACATACACACACACACACACACACAGGAACATACACACACACAGGAACATACACACAGGAACATACACACACACAGGAACATACACACACACAGGAACATACACACAGGAACATACACACACACACACACACACAGGAACATACACACAGGAACATACACACAGGAACATACACACACACAGGAACACACACACACAGGAACATACACACACACAGGAACATACACACACATTAGGAACATACACACACACACACACAGGAACATACACACACACACAGGAACATACACACACACACACAGGAACATACACACAGGAACATACACACAGGAACATACACACAGGAACATACACACACGGAGACATAATAATAATAATCACACATTGGTTCAGTTTGAAACTTTAAAAATAATAATCTCTAATATTTTAAAATGATTAAATCCACAATAACAAAAACATTAAGAAAATTTAGCAAATAAACTTTGTAAACTGGTCTTGGTCTGGTCTGGTCTTGGTCTGGTCTTGGTCTTGGTCTGGTCTTCCTGGTCCTTGGTCTTGGTCTTGGTCTGGTCTGGTCTGGTCTGGTCTTGGTCTGCTGGTCTTGGTCTGGTCTTGGTCTGGTCTTGGTCTGGTCTTGGTCTGGTGGTCTTGGTCTTGGTCTTGGTCTGGTCTTGGTCTTGGTCTTGGTCTTGGTCTTGGTCTGGTCTTGGTCTTGGTCTTGGTCTTGGTCTTGGTCTTGGTCTTGGTCTTGGTCTTGGTCTTGGTCTTGGTCTTGGTCTTGGTCTTGGTCTTGGTCTGGTCTTGGTCTTGGTCTTGGTCTTGGTCTTGGTCTGGTCTTGGTCTTGGTCTTGGTCTTGGTCTTGGTCTTGGTCTTGGTCTTGGTCTGGTCTTGGTCTTGGTCTGGTCTTGGTCTTGGTCTTGGTCTTGGTCTTGGTCTGGTCTTGGTCTTGGTCTTGGTCTTGGTCTTGGTCTTGGTCTTGGGTCTTGGTCTTGGTCTTGGTCTGGTCTTGTCTTCTGGTCTGGTCCTGGTCTTGGTCTTGGTCTTGGTCTTGGTCTTGGTCTTGGTCTTGGTCTTGGTCTTGGTCTGGTCTTGGTCTTGGTCTTGGTCTTGGTCTGGTCTTGGTCTTGGTCTTGGTCTGGTCTTGTCTTGGTCTTGGTCTTGGTCTGGTCTTGGTCTTGGTCTGGTCTTGGTCTTGGTCTTGGTCTTGGTCTGTGGTCTTGGTCTGGTCTTGGTCTTGGTCTTGGTCTTGGTCTTGGTCTTGGTCTTGGTCTTGGTCCTTGGTCTTGGTCTGGTCTTGGTCTGGTCTTGGTCTTGGTCTTGGTCTTGGTCTTGGTCTTGGTCTTCTTGGTCTTGGTCTTCTTGGTCTGGTCTTGGTCTGGTCCTGGTCTGGTCCTGGTCTTGGTCTTGGTCTGGTCCTGGTCTTGGTCTTGGTCTGGTCTTGGTCTTGGTCTGGTCTGGTCTGGTCTTGGTCTTGGTCTTGGTCTGGTCCTGGTCCTGGTCCTGGTCCTGGTCTTGGTCTTGGTCTGGTCCTGGTCTTGGTCTTGGTCTGGTCTTGGTTCTTGGTCTTGGTCTTGGTCTGGTCTTGGTCTGGTCTGGTCTTGGTCTTGGTCTTGTCTGGTCCTGGTCCTGGTCCTGGTCTGGTCTTGGTCTGGTCTGGTCTTGGTCTTGGTCTTGGTCTTGGTCTTGGTCTTGGTCTGGTACTCACAGTCTGCCAGGCTGATCTTCTGGTATTGGTCCATTCCTCGGCTCTTCAGGAGTCTTGCCCATTGGCACCTCTCAAACACACTGCCCTGAGCCACGGCCCAGAAGACCGGGACTAGAACCAACAACTGCAGCTTCAACATCTCCACCAAGACCAGGACTGAACCAGGACTAAACCAGGACTGAACCAGGACTAAACAGGACTGAACCAGGACAAACCAGGACTAAACCAGGACTGACCAGGACTGAAGCTAAACCAGGACTAAACCAGGACTAAACCAGGACTGAACCAGGTCTGTTTGAGGCTCGTGACTTTTAAAGACGTCGGTGGAATTTCCCATTTTCACTTTTAAACCGGTCGAACCTGAGAGTTTGGGCGTGTCCTGCTCAAGTGCACAAAGACAGGGGCAGACAGGAGCAGACAGGAGCAGACAGGGGCAGACAGGGGCAGACAGGGGCAGACAGGAGCAGACAGGGCAGACAGGAGCAGACAGGGGCAGACAGGGGCAGACAGGAGCAGACAGGAGCAGACAGGAGCAGACAGGTGCAGACAGACAGGAGCAGACAGGAGCAGACAGGAGCAGACAGGTGCAGACAGGAGCAGGTGGTGAAATTTCCCCTAAACAGATTCACTTTTTTGGACGTTCGACCTCAAACAGGAAGAAGAACAAAAAAAACAGAAGTCGATTTCTCAAACGGGACTTTTCTGAAGAAGTGAAGTTAAAAAAATATTTATTATGAGAAACCAGAACTAAACCAGAACTAAACCAGAACTAAACAGGACTAACCAGGACTAAACCAGGACTAACCAGGGACTAAAACTAAACGGGTCAACCGGGACTAAACCGGACTAAACCAGACTAAACCAGGACTAAACCGGGACTAATAACTAAAACGGGACCAACCAGAACTAAAACCAGGTCTAAATCGGGACTAAACAGGTCTAAACTAAACCGGGAAACCGGGACTAAACCGGGACTAAACCGGGACTAAAACCGGGACTAAACCAGGACTAAACCAGGACTAAACCAGAACTAAACCGGGACTAAACCAGGACTAAACCAGGACTAAACCGGGTCTAAACCGGGACTAAACCGGGACTAAACCAGAACTAAACCAGGACTAAACCAGGACTAAAACAGGACTAAAACAGGTCTAAACCAGGACTAAACCAGAACTAAACCGGGACTAAACCAGGACTGAACCAGTTTTCTTTCTTTACAGTAAAATAATTAAAAATAACTAAACTTTTGATAATTTTGTAAATTAAATAATAAGTATTTTTTTTATTTTACTGATAAAACACTCAGACGGCCCATGTCCAAAAGATTTTTTTTTTTAAATAATATTTCAGCAAAAAAAAAAAAAAATAAAATAAAAATCCTTCATCAGATATTTTTCTTACTTTCATGCTGTGGTCCAAAGCAAAAAAATAAAATAAATAAATAAAAATCTGGTGAAGGTTTTTTTTTTTTTTTTGCCAAAACATTATTTTAAAAATTAAAAAAGTGTTTGTGTTTTTTTCACTTTTATTTTTCCAACATCTGACACTGATTTTAGTCCAGTGACAATTAGAACCAAATTATTACAACTAAATCAAATCAAATCACAGATGATTTTAATTCGTTTTCTCAAAGTTTTATTTTTTGGTCATAAAATAAATTCTGAAGTTTAATTTCACACTGACGACGTTAAACACGAAACAAACGAAAAACTGAAACACAAAACGTCCTGCAGGTGAAAGAGGGACAGAAAAGGCCCTTTACACACAAGCCCTTTACACACGCTTTTTACACATGCCCTTTACACACACCTGTTACACACGCTCTTTACACGCACACCTTTTACACACACACCCTTTACACACATGCCCTTTACACACACCTGTTACACACGCTCTTTACACACACACCTTTTACACACACACCCTTTACACACATGCCATTTTTACACACACCTTTACACACGTTCTTTACACACACACACACACTTTTACACACACACACCCTTTACACACATGCCCTTTACACACACCTGTTACACACGCTCTTTACACACACACCTTTTACACACACACCCTTTACACACACGCTCTTTACACACACGCCCTTTACACACACCATTTACACACACGCTCTTTACACACACGCCCTTTACACACTTTTTTACACACACGCCCTTTACCACACGCTTTACACACACGCCCTTTACACACACGCCTTTACACACACGCTTTACACACACGCCTTTACACACACGCCCTTTACACACACCACACACACGCCCACACACGCCTTTACACACACCATTTACACACACGCTCTTTACACACACGCCCTTTACACACACCATTTACACACACGCTCTTTACACACACGCTCTTTACACACACGCCTTTACACACACGCTCTTTACACACACGCCCTTTACACACACCATTTACACACACGCCCTTTACACACACGCTCTTTACACACACGCCCTTTACACACACCATTTACACACACGCTTTACACACACACACCCTTTACACACACCATTTACACACACGCTCTTTACACACACACACACACGCTCTTTACACACACGCTTTTTACACACACTTTTTACACACACCATTTACACACACGCTCTTTACACACAGTGTCATTCACACTGTTGCACTGAAACGATTATTTTCAGATTTTAGGAAACAATTATTATTATTAAAATAAACTTAACGTCTTCCCACACACACACACACACACACACACACACACACACACACACACACACACACACACACACACACACACACACACAACACACACACACACACACACACACACACACACACACACACACACACACACACACACACACACACACACACACACACACACACACACACACACACACACACACACACACACACACACACACACACACACACACACACACAACACACACACACACACACACACACACACACACACACACAACACACACAACACACACACACACACACACACACACACACACACACACACACACACAACACACACACACACACACACACACACACACACACACACACACACACACACACACACACACACACACACACACACACACACACACACACACACACACACACACACACACACACACACACACACACACACACACACACACACACACACACACACACACACACACACACACACACACACACACACACACACACACACACACACACACACACACACACACACACACACACACACACACACACACACAAACCAGTGTGTGTTTGTTGTGTTTGTGTTTTATTTTCACTTTGTTTGTCTGATTTATAAAAGACGTTAAGTTTATTTATTTTTTTGTTTGTTTCCTCCAAACCTCAAAACAAAAAGGTCGAGTTGATTTTTTTCCATCAGAATCTGGTGAAAAATAAAGTTTCAGAACCTGGACCAGAACCTGGACTAGAACCTGGACCAGAACCTGGATCAGAACCTGGATCAGAACCTGGACTAGAACCTGGACCAGAACCTGGATCAGAACCTGGACCAGAACCTGGACCAGAACCTGGACCAGAACCTGGACTAGAACCTGGACCAGAACCTGGACTAGAACCTGGACTAGAACCTGCTTTAGTGTTTTAGCTTTTATCTCCAAAAGATGATTTTTGAAGAAATGTGGAGTAAAAAGGAGAAGTTTCAGAGGAGCTCGTGAAGTTTGAGCTGAAGTCCTGAAGCTCCTGCAGATGATTCGTTTTTCCTTCAGAAGCTTCAGTCGTGAAGAAAAAAAACACCTGAACGGTTTTGGGCGACGTGTTTGGTCCTCGAGTGAAGAAACGTTTGTCCTGATGTTCTTCACTCCAGTGCGACAGAAGAAACTGAAGCTGATGGAAAAGGTTCAGACAAAGACGTTCATCCAGCAGATCATGAAGAACATCAGGGAGTTTGAGGAGTTTCTTCTTCTTCTCTTGATCTGACAGAAACATTTAGAACAGTTCCTGCAGCAGAACTTGGCTCATGATGAAACTGAAGCTGAAGCTGCTCAAACTGAGCTTCAGGAAAATGTCCAGGATGTTTGTGAAACGAGCTGAAGATCATCAGAACACGACACATTTATTTGATTCTGTTCATTTTCTTGAGCAAAACTCTAAATATTCATGAATTTGCATAAAATTTGGACCCAAATATTTTGGTTTAAAAACTTTTTTTGGACCCTGAAGTCGAGTCGAGACGTGTGAGCGAAGACGTGTGAGCGAAAAAGTTTTATAAACGTACAGACGAGACGCAAGATTTAATCATGAATGAAACAACTGGAATAAAAAAAGAGTTGGAATGGAAAAAATGTAGTTTGCATCATTATTGATGTAATTATTGTTTCTTTATTTTTATTATAATTTTTTGGTCAATATTACTATTACTATTTTTTTTTATTATTATTTGTATTTATTTATTTTTTGTTAAATTATTATTATTATTATTTATTTATTTTATATTTTTTTCTTTGTACATCTTGTGGTGTTATTGTGGCTGTAAGACGACAATATAGGAAAAAATAAAATAAAATAAAATATATATGACAAAAAGAAATGGAAATAATTGGAAAAAAAAAAAAAAAAACAGGACTGGAAATCATTGTTGAACTTGAATTTGTCAACTTCAGGTTTTTTTTTTTTTTTTTTTAATCAGAATTTGGCAACTTTGTTTTTTTCTGAATTTCTCAACCTGAACTTTGTCTGAATTAAAGAAGCTGATGTAAAATCACACGAACCCGTCACATGTTCAAGATTTTTTTTTTTCCAATTATTTCCATTTCAACCATTTTTTATTCCGTTTGTTTTATTCATCGTGAAATTTTCTAAACTTCTGGTACATCTGGACGTCCACACTTGTTTTTTTTTTTCCACAGAGGATTTTAATTTTCCAGAGCTCAGTTTTTCACCAAACATTTATGATCAGAAATTTTCCCCCGACAGAAGCAGCGGCCGAATGTTCACGACTTCAAACGAAACGATGAAGAGTTTTTGTTTTTGTGATTGACAAAATATAACAGAACAACACAAAAAAAGGTTAAAAATTCAAGCAGATTTTGCAGATTGTGTCATTTATTTTGCTTTATGTGAATATTTGTGAAGTTTCGTGCTCGACGTTCAGAAGGAAACACGTCGGGTTTGAAACTCGTCGACTTGAGGCAAATTTGTGTTGGAGAAAAACTC